CACCATTGAGTTGGAAATGAAAAATTGGGAATAAAACATGCATCGCACAACCTTAGTACCTAAAGTTAGGTTCATGTGACCTGACCTGTGACCCTTGGTGACCTGACCTGTGACCTGACCTGGTAATGTCAGTGACCTCTTATAGCAACATATGTACTAGGCAACTGACGCCCTATCGCTGATTCTCGACAAAATGCGTTTTCTTCGGTGTTATAGCGCATTCCTTAGATGACCCGTGAACGGTGAAACATTTCATCTTTGACCTGACCTGTGACGTCATCGGTGACCCCGAGGTCAATGAAATTTGGTTTCCTTCGACAAGTTTGACAGGCCTTTCGAACGCCGTTTGAATTTCGCGGATCCGTCCTGTAGTTTCGGAGATACGAGGGGGGGGGGCAAAAAATAGCCCCCCCACCAGGTCGCGTTATAAACATACCCCACCAGGGCGCGGGTTAATACACCGTGGGCTATGGAGAATGGCACGCGGAATTGAAGGTCAGTGTTTTATTGCTTCGTACATGCGAATGGGGGTATTTGAGTGGCATTTGACACCATTTTCGAAATCTACAGTAAATTTCTGATCGACTCATGCATAAGTTTTTATGAATTTGACAGTATTAGTGCTACATAGTCGGTGTTTTATGTTGGTGTTGTTTCTCTCGACCTTTGTCTTGGACTTTTATCATATCTTTTCTCGAAAATGCTTGTCATAACCAGGTCTAAACTGTATCTGTATAAAGGGAATATGTGTTGAATATGAGGAGAAAGTAGTAATGACCATTCTGTCCATCAAACTGCCAGAAGGTGTGCTTGTAAGGTGATTGAAACTGCAGTATGGGTTACAGATGTGGGTTTGACATTAGCATTGTTGTTGTAACCCTACTTGCTCTAATAAAATGGCAACATGGGGTTATGTACACACTATTGCACAGCCTGGTATCAAGCTGGTTGATATGTGGAGGATAATGAAAGCATTTTTCTTAAGTGAATAGGAGCGTTGCGTCATGTGACTTATGTCAAGTCATTTTAAATCAAATGATTGTGATTGTAACTTTTACTTCAATTATTATTGCGACTTTTGACCTTTTAAATCATCAAGTTTTATGTGTACCAATTTCATATGCCTGTGTTATGTCTGTGCGGCTTTGTGCAGTGTGCGTGTCTTGAAACAAACCAATTTATTTTGTACCTTTTTGTACTTCAACAAATGTATGTCAAAGGACAAAAATGTCATGTCATTATCATTGACACTACTACAGCTAACTTTGCCTGTATTCCTATCTTTCAGAGGCATTCAATTCAATCTGCTTTCCAGTGCAGTACCTAGGAGGCTGCAACTGAAACTCGCACAAAGGCAATCAAGTGTCACTTCATCAGCCTACAGCAACAGCCCATCTGTAATCAAGATATGGATGAAGTGGCATAGAAGAACAACCAGTTCAAACATGAAAGATGTTTTTTGTTTTGGACTATTTCTTAGCATAACAGAACAGCACACTTGCTGCTTTTTATATTTACCCTGTGTGCAGTTTTGAATAATTTTAACTTTTAAATGCTTTTGCCAACTCTTCTCTTTACATAAGCTTCCTTTGTCATGCATGTGTTATTTTGAGTTTACATGCATGATGTAGGCATATTTCCCTTGTCTTCATAAAACTACTTTGCAAGCTTTTGTTATGGACATTGGTGCTACCTATATTATATGATGCATAGGTACCTTTAATATGCGACTTGTACCAGAAGATCCAGCTTGATCAAAAGATTGGACATGTCAAATTTCAGCTCTTTAGCTCAAAAGAATTTTGAGCTGTCGTAAAAACCGTCAGTGTGACACCATATCGCCTACCCGCGCGGACGGAAGGTAAAAGTTCGCCGGCTCTAACTAAACAAATAGTCGTCGTATCGCAAATTCATCGACGGCGTTCGAAGGGTCGTTCAATTTACTTTCGAAACATATCCTAACATTAACATTTAACTTCCTAGCGCAATCTCCAACAAGCAAAAGTTCCGTGCATTCATCCTCATACAGTGTTAGCGGCCGCCGGCCGCCGGCCGCTGACCCACATTCGCGTCATCAGGGAATGCCGCAACTAATTTATTGTTTCCAACTTTTTTCCCGGAGCGTTCTACCTGGTTTATATAGCCTTGGATCTAGCTCAAAAACTAAGCTCTTGGGAGCGATTCCCGTGGTTCAATGTTTTGCGTCGAAATCGGCCGAACATGACGTCACTCTGACGTCATTTCCGGCCGACCTATGATAGATACGAAGTTCAAATTTTGACACAAAGTGTCAAATTGATGCAGCCGAAGGTACTGAAAGTTTGGCGGCGATACGTCAAGCGGTTTAGAAGTTATTGCAGAAAAACGGGAGGGGGGCTATGAATAGCCCCCCCCCCCCAGTGGGACGCGGGTTAAGGGGGGCATTGCCGACTTTTGGTCCCATTCTTTCCATGCAACGCCCAAAGGGCTAATGTTAAAATGCCAAAATCAAAGGTGGCACGGTGCCCCGGTGCCCTCCTCGTTCCGCCGCCTATGATTAGTATGATGTTTTTAGCGCTCTGGCCACGTTCCATCTAAAATCGATGTACAAAAATAAACTGTTGGAGACGTTACATGACCTGAGATGACCTCAGGATCATACGATAGATCCCGATGTTTGAGTGTTTTTGTTTCAAAAGCAGAGCATTTCGAGTTCCTCATACTGACTGAAACTGGAGACGTCGCAAAGTTGACCTGACCTTAGGTCACCGATATCAAAATTAAAGATATTCAAGATGTTGGTACTAATTCTCCCATGCAATAGCTCAAGTTTCAAACTTCTACGTCATGGTGACCTGACCTGACCTTAGGTGACATGGGGTTACATTTTTTTTTCTCACAAATGATGCGAGGCGATGCATTATACATAAGCTATACTAATTTTCGTGTCGTTTTATTTATGCAAGCACAAAATTGTCAGGTGTGGCCAAAAACGCCCCCACCCACCTGGGGGAACGTTAAAGCAGTGGTGTATTATTGAGTGCATTCCACGATGCATCGATCGGTGTCTTTGATAATGCATTATTTATCTATTGCTGCGTGTCTACGATTTTGCTCTGTTCAGTGTGATCTGTGATAGGAAAACTACCGATATATCTCCACGCGCATGACTGAAAGAGCTGGCATGATCCACAATATTGCGTGTCTGTTTTTGTTTGGCATTTTATAAATACTGAGTCAGCTGTGATCGTTTGATGAGACACTGGGACAGCCGGCCTGTATGATCAGCGAACGGCAGGCGGCGGGGCGGTGGTCTGGTGGCTGCTGCATGGGACTGACACCAGCAGATTCAGAGCTGCGATACGCGGACGTTATGTTCACAATGCCTCTGCAAAATAATATCGAATAGATAGCATGTCCTCGAAAATGTTCTTCAATCAATTTGATGTAACCTGCTGGCTTATTCCATGGGAGCCAAAACCGATCGTTTTATGTATGCCTTTTCTGGGCCTCGTTCTCCTCTAAATGCGTGTAGGTAGCAATTCTATTCAAGGGACGATTGAAAGTGCCTCCGATTGGTTTTCAGCGTAGGTGGGATATGGCCGTTGAATGTGAGGCAGTCGATAAGGAACGTCGAGGGAACGGTCATTGGGTAGGTATGTGAAAGACAGCAGTAGAAAACAAGGAAGGAAGGCGTTTGGTGTGAGGTTTCAAATGCTCTATACATAAGAAAAATTCATTTGATTATATGACACCGTCATTTTTATCGCTATGCGTGAGCAACGCATGAGACGCTCACTGTTCAGACTTGTAGCGTTAGAGAATGGGCCGACAGGCTGAGAAGGGCTATTTCCGCGAAAGGATATTCTGGGATTTGAATTGAAAGGCATTTAGTTTTGAAAGCATCCGTGCATTCCATGCATTGCGTGAAAGCTTTAGTTCTTAATTAAGTAAAGAACAATCATTTCTTTTAATACTTTGTAACACCTAACACACTAGAAACAATTTGTACGGGCTTCCAAAAAATGTTATATTTAACATATAAGATCTAGTACAATATTTTAGCTGCCCTAACTTGTAAATGTAACGTATGCGTCGTTATTGAAAAGTGCTAAAGCATAGTATTCTATGGCTGACAAATATTCTGCGTCTGTCAGCCAAAACTGGCCAATCAGAGGCTTTGTTTGTCATTTCTGGGCGTAAATCGAAAACATGCGTAATGATCATAGTGTGTTTTTATTGAACGAAAGAAAATGCCTCAGAAGTTTGCAATTTCCGAGAAACATCGGTAAGGGGTTTTACCTCGGCGGGGCGAGCTGCCTCGGTCTACCCTACTACTCAACTCAAAGAACCACAATGCAATGTCTTCCCTCTGCAACTCCCACATTTCCAGTTCCATTTCTCCGTCCGGCACCTGACCTTTATGCCACTTCAACCACGAGACATAGCGCAAACGTCATTTCCACTTACAAGCTGCTAATAAAAACACCCAAAAGGTTTGTGGGGTCAGCATACATCAGCGAACTAAAGGTCGCGATTTGGACAATGATTAAAATATTATGCAAGGAAAGACGGCGTAGCTAGTTTGGCAGATGGCATCCGCATGACATAGCTTGTCCGGGGTGACTCGTGCAGTTGGGTTGTAAGTGAAAGCAAAATGTAATAGCATTTCGTCTGAACTTTTTTCGTCTAAAGCCATTCAGCGTGGAAAAACCAGAATGAGGTTTGTGCCCTTGTTAAAGTGACGACTGCTTTGCTTTATGTGGTTTACGGAGGCAGTTAAGCTCTCCCATGAGGCTGATTTCGGCAGCTCTCTTTTGCCGACGTTCGAGGGCTCGCGCTCGCGCAGTTCAGCCCGAGGACAGCCAGCCCCCCCCCCCCCCCGAGACACCGCACGTGTATAATCCCAGCAACGACTCCCGTGTATGACCCCAGCAGGAACTCCCTTGCACAGCCCCAGTAACGACTCCCTCACACGGCCCCAGCAACGACTCCCTTACACGGCCCCACCAGAGACTCACGTATTTCTCCAGGTAGAGCGTCTGGTTGTCCAGCAGCGCCTTCACCATGCGCATAAGGTAGATTAGCAGCGCCAGGTTGTACTGTACCACGTTCACCTTCACACCCTCAAAGATGAAGTTGCAGAGACGCGGCAGCATCTGATGCAGGCCCGGATCTGACGACAGACTCTGAAGTGCCTCCTGAAAACGAGCCACACTGGTCACCTTCCGCCTCAAGGCAACGAGCGGACCGACAGCGATCAATGAAAAACACCTACTGGGAACGGTATACCTAGGACCAACAGCGATCAATGAAAAACACCTACTGGGAACGGTATACCCACTGGACACAAATCGGGCCGGCACCTCTTTGGAGGTTCCGGCTACCGTGCGACAGCCACCGAACTACCTCCAGACTAATAGCGTACTCCACTGACCACGGGCCGCCAGTGAGCCGCCACTGACCGCGGGCCGCCAGTGAGCCGCCACTGACCGCGGGCCGCCAGTGAGCCGCCACTGACCCCGGGCCGCCAGTGAGCCGCCACTGACCGCGGGCCGCCAGTGCACTGTAGGCGTTCGGGCCGGTCAAGCCTCTCACCAGCCAAAAAAAAAAAACTTTTTCGCGTTTATGAAAGCAAAAAGCATATCAATCGACTACAAAATGTCCATACATTGAATACATGACAAGTATTTGGTCATGCATTATCTTCGTATAGGGTGAAAGGGGCCTTAAACATACAGTTTTTTTTTGGGGGGGTGGGCCCTGGACAAGTCATAATAAACAGGTGTTTTAACAGTCAAAGCATATGCCATAGAGATCCTATGTGCTTGAGTGCTCCACGTTCCACGTCAACGTTTTCTTGAGTTGTTCTGTGAAATGTTTCGATCTATCAACATATCATCGTATTGATTGACACGTAATAGCCACCGTGTTGTGGAGTGTCGGCTGACGTAAATATCATCGCTTCATCTCGTATTTTTAAAACAAATATTGATCACAAAGTAAGAGCCGATTTTTTATTACCCCCAGGTCCCGATCTAAATTGTGTGTCACAATACGCACTGAGATGTTGTTGAACTAGTCAGACAGTATGAAGGTGCGCAAACGTGCGCCTCGGCGGCTATGCAACATTTTGCAATACACTGTTCGCCAATATCCCGCGCCTCACTGGGGAGCTGTTATTCATAGCCCCCCTCCCCCCCTATTTTAATGACACTCGTGAATACATATATGCCTAATATACCCTGCGGGAACCAAACTTGTACTTTGAATTACTAGGGGGCCAGAAGCCTTCTCATTGGCCGTAAAATGAACTAACTGCCAGGCGGCCGTTCACGTTACCGTTCGGCCGGTGATCGAGCTAGAGCTTTGCGGAAAAAACGAGCGTGTTGCCCGTGACGAGAGGAAGCCGATGATACTCAATTTTGAGGTCCCATGTCATTGGTTGACTTTTCAGGTCAGGCCAATGACCCAAAAGTCGGGAAAATCGGGACCTGTTAATTGTTAGAACGTCGCTGCCATGCGGTTTTTCGGGGTGCTGATCACGAATTTCAAGCTAGTTTTGATAACACATGATATCTTCATGCATTTAGCCATGGCCGGATCATGTCAGGTCACGCCAACCAGTAGGTCTCCTGCTGGGTATTCGTAGTACGTGTCAGCCGCCTCTGACAGCTTCGTTACATGTTAACCCGGGCCGGGGGGGGGGGGTGTCTGAACACCCCCTTCCAACTCGGCTCCTGGGCCACGTAGCGACACGCGGTAAGCGGTAATCGAAACAACGTCCAAAATAAGGACGAAAACACTTCAGTCATTTTTTTTGGGTCAGGTCAAAGGTCAGGTCACCAGAGGTCACCAAAGGTAAAATGTTGACTATTTCAAGTCAGTCATAAGCATATTTTACGCCTTCAACACCGTGAGACGCGACACTTTTTGGAGCAAGGTGAGGACGCGTGTGCCCATGGCATATCCTCTCCTGTGGTGCGCATACAGTGAGCCCACTCCCCTCTGCATCGGTGACCAAACCATTTCCTCGTGCAGCGGCGTGCAGCAGGGCGATCCACTCGGCCCGGCGGCTTTTGCTCTTGCTTTAGACCCGATCATCAGAAAGATGCGGTCACCACTAAATGTATGGTACCTCGACGATGGGACCATCGGAGGTCCGGCTGACCTCGTCGCCACTGACCTAGCAGTCCTGGCGACAGCTCTGCCAACAATCGGTCTGCAGCTGAACGCCAGCAAGTGCGAGGTCGCATTCGCCGGTCCAACGCCACCAGCACCACTCTTGGAGTTGCTACGAGGTACCCTCCCAGGACTGAAGGACACTAGCAAGCGAGCTCTCCCTGCTGGGCGCTCCCTTGACAGATGCCGCGCTGCCCGCCGCCACCACCAAGACTGCAGCCGTCATAGACCGGATGTGTGCCAGGATCAGCCGTCTCGACGCTCACTCCGGTCTATTCCTTTTGGCCCACTACACGGCAGCCCCCCGGCTAACATATCTTCTGCGGTCGGCGCCGCTGTATCGCGAGCCGGGGTCGTTGCTGACTGTCGACGACACAGTACGGAAGACTCTTGTTACCGTCAGCAACGTCACAATCGATGACGGAGCGTGGGAACAGGCATCCCTACCACTACGTTTCGGAGGACTTGGAGTACGCTCGGTGATGGCATTGGCCCTGCCATGTCACGTGGCATCCCTCCACGCTTGTCTGCCGCTGATGCAGGAGATTCTTCACGCCACCGAGCCTTTCCAGCCTCTGTCGACGTCCCAGTCCATCTTCAGTGACCGGCCCGGTGGCTGCGTTGTCCAGCAGCCGAGACGCTGTTGATCTGCCGCTGAAGTCTCAGTAACCGAGCTCCGTCTCCACTCTCCAATGCTCCTCCAACCCGTCTCTCCAATCTCTCACTCTGTCTCTCTCGATCTCAATCTCAATCTGTGTGTAAGTTCTCAGTGTCCCTTCAGAGTCGGTCCCGTTGAGTTTTGCTTCGTGATGACGTCATTTTCCAGTGAAAGTTGCGATGCTCCTCTCCGCCAATCCTCTTGCTCCACATCGACAGCGTTCTGCTTGGCTCCGCCTTCAGAGTGGTGTTAGCCGATGGAATTTTGCGCCCCCTTCAGCTGTGACAAGTGGCCCTTTCACTTTCACCGTGTCGTCGACCCGACTGGACCTGCCGCTGGCGTCTTCATAGCCTCAGGGATGCAGGTGGCTGGTGGCCAAAATCTGGGCTTGTTTTATTTGAATGTCGATCGGTCCCTGCTCCCCTGTTTTTGAGTAATTTAGCTCGGTCAGCTGCTCCAGATGTAGACTGGATCGGGTTATGGGATTTGGCTTTTGTTCGTATCTGGTCCAGAGCACGTTCGCAGAGTCGGTCGCGTCGTTTAGCCGCTCATTATCCTGGCCGTGGCGGTCCTTCTCTCCACCTGTCTTTCAGCTTCAGTGTGGGAACGGCAGAATGGAATGCTGGAGCCATGAAACTGCTGCTTTTCTCGCGGTCGATCAGCTCCACTGTCCTGGCTAATGGGTCTGTTTTCGTCACCGGCCAGCCGGCCGTTCGTGCACGCGCTGCCGCTGCCCACCGTCCACGGCTGGTGACGGTGTTCTGCCGGGCCGGCGCGTCTCGCGACGCTGTAACCGTTGTTAACCCGCGCCCCGCTGCACAGTGTGACCAAACGCCAGATTAGCGCGAATTTAATCAAAAAACGAATTTTGGAATTTTGTCTTTTTATACCTATCAGTCGATAGGAAATTGTCCAAAGTATGTCAATATCACAATACTTTGGTTCAATGTCTTCCTTTCGGTGTCCAAAAAGCTAGCTAAAGTGGACATACGCAATGCCGGTCCCGGCTGTGCTGAAATCGTCGAAAACCCGCGTCACGTTTACAACACATTTTGGCGTAATTGTCGGAGAGGTTTGGAAATAAATGTAATGGTATATGACTACTGAGCCTATATTTGATAGAATACCCGAATTCTATAGGCATCCTTGGACTAACCGATGAGTTATGCTAATTTTGAAATTGCCTTTTCAGACATCCCCTGAAAACACTGTCCATCGTAAAAACGTAGAGATATAAGAAAATGGCCAAAAAACTCCGCGCCAAATCTACCATGAGAAGATTCGCCACACTTTTCTGGACATGATCCACTCAAGAAACCCTGCCCCAACCTGCCCCCCCCCCCCCCGGCCTTTGGCCCAGCTTTGAACGTATCGGGTTGGCCCGCCCGGGGTGGTCCGGCAACAGGGTGGGCGCGGCGGCGGCTCCGTAACGTTACGTGGATGGCTCAACCGCTGTATTTCTGACTTGTTATATTGCAGAATACGGTCGCCGATGAATAAATCTTGGCAATTTTTTAACCCCAAATAGGGGGTGAGGGTGGGGGTCGAACGGACCCCTCTCGGGTTTTCACAAAAAGCTCGCGTAAAAAGCGGCCGATCGCGACGAAACTTTAAGTACCCTCGAGTTTATCAATTTTACACCTACCCTTTAAATTTCACGACCCTGACCCCAATGACCTTTGACCTGTGACCTATTTCTCGAGACCGTGTTTGGCCGGAATCGCGATTCGGCGTATGTTTGCTTGCATTAGCCACGCGTTTGCAGTCTTTTCGTGGTTTCAAGCGTCTAAACATGTGATATTATGATGTTGACCCCATGCATTATGGTCGGTGTCAAGATCACTTGAAGGTAAGGTCAGTTCAATGCCTTTGATGACCTCGGTTCACCTTTTTTAGTTTTACATGCTTCCAGGCTAGTTTTTGGAGCTGATTTCAAATTTAGTAACCATTTGAACATTTAGGAAGAAGTTTGGTGCCTTCGTAACATGCAACGAAGCTGTCAGTGGCGGTTGACACCTATTAATTATGAATACCCGGCAGGACGCCTACTGGTTGGCCTGACCTGACCTGACCCGACCTATGTTCGCGGCTAGCAAAACACCAATACGGGCGAGGGTTAATGACATGAAGGTGCTTATGGTGTAGGAGTCTTTGTTTTTACTCCCATTGCTGAGGTTCAGTCCTATCGGTGCGTGTATTTCAGCAACTGTCTACCGATTCATGTGCTTCACCAGGAACATTCACACAGAAGTGACAGAAACATAATAAGATGTTGATTTTTTTCAAGCAAACTTTGGACAATCATAAGAATTTACCGGAGAAATGATGGGAATTTCGTAAACGATTCCTCCTCCTAACATGCCCAATTCATCATCACTGGGACCCACAATTTTATGCCTCTTATATGCGGTTAAATTTTTTGCGGATTTCGTAATCAGAGTCGGAGTCGTTCGGAGTCAACAGTTCTGACCCAAGTCAGAGTCGAAATCGGAATCGATTTTGGAATCCGGACCAAGATTCGTAGTCTGAGTCACCGAAAATCCATCGACTGCGTGGCCTTGCCATGGCTGCGGAGTCAGAGTCAGAGTCGATCGTAGTCGACAGTTTTGCCCGGAGTCAGAGTTGAAATTGACTTTTGAAAGCCTAGTCGGAGTAACTCCATCGACTTCAGAGCCCTGGTAAGCACATCACCCGTCGTAAGCTGGTTCTCCTTACTTTTAGAGGCGGAACTATGCCATAATATGTCAGCAAGCATTTATAATGCATCGTAAAAGGTCTCACATAGGTTTAAGTGTCAATTTTGAAACCAGGGAACCATTTTCAACGGATCCGAGCAGCGCTGGGATTAAATTCGCGCTAATCTGGTGTTTAGCCACACTGTGCGCTGGGGGGGGATCTGCCCCCCCCCCTCCCGTTTTTCGCCAATAACTTCTAAACGCGTTACGCCAGCGACGTCAAACTTTAACCCGCGCCCTGCTGGGGGGGTGTTTGAACACCCCCCCTTGTGGTTTTTCGCGAATATCTCAAAAACGGCGGCGCGGAGCGCCGCCGTTTTTGGTACACCTTATCATACATCAATTCTACACATGTTGTGAAAATTTCAGACCAAGGTCATTCAAGGTCAGGTCACCAGGTCACTTGAAGTGACCTCACCTCATAAAAAGTTTCAATGTCTGTCATAGCTACACCGAGTGACCGATCGCTTTGAAACTTTCAGCGATTACTAAGAGCAATAGCATGTACAAAATGTATATCTCAGAATTTTGATATCGATGACCTAAGGTCAGGTCAATTTTGCGACCTCCCCATTATAAGTCAATGGGAGAAAATTGAAATGCGCCTCTTTTGGACAAAAGACATTATAAACACTCCCAAACACCGAATTACAAGTAGTTTAGACACACTGAACATGAAAATGGTGTCCGTGACCCTTGTTTATGCCCTGAGGTCATCTTAGGTCACGAATGGTATCTAACAGTTTTTCGCAAATAACTTTTGATAGAGGCATGCTAGAGCGATGAAAACGCCTTAGATGTGTTCAGCTCGACGATACGGAACGACTGATATGCAACATGACCCTTTCCGGTCAGGTCATGACCTTGACCTGAGGTCAAATTTTCAAGTTGACCTTTCAAGGTCAACTTATAGTTCATTCGATGCGTCTTGACGAGAGGAACACAATGCCGGTAAAAGTAAACTCGTACAAGGCTTGGGTCAAAAGTTATTGCAGAAAAACTGTTTCCGAAAAAATCAGCTATTTTTGCAGTTTTTGCCCCCTGCAGGCAAAACCGTTGACGTTAGGTCAAATCTGAGAGAATTACTCAGAAAGGGCTTTAATAGGGCTATCGAATGCGCTTTTCCGCGGCGCTGTAGCTCTATTTGTTCTCGAGTTATGCGTTGGCTTCTTGGAAATTTTCGACATTCGACCTGGAAATCGGCGAAATTTTGCCTTCAATGACCTCTGGTGACCTGACCTTTGACCTGACCAAAAAATTGACCGAAGTGATTTCGTCATTATTTTTGACGCTCTTTCGAACGCCGCCTTCCGCGTATCGCTACGTGGCCCAGGAGCCGAGTTACAAGGGGGGGTGTTCAAACACCCCCCCCCCCAGCAGGGCGTGGAAATCCAGGACCCCCAGCCGGGCGCGGGTTAAGTGCCTTATCATACATAAATTTGACACGTTCCCTGAAAATTTGAGCGAAATCCATCGGAACTTTTTTGAAAAATTGACGTTTTAGTGACGTCATGTTCGCCATTTTCGCCTCAAAAACGGCAAAATTTCAAACGCCGCTAACATCTTCATTTTTAAAAGGAATTAAGACGTAACAAAAAAGGTTATACGTGATTCTACTTTGTCTATCAAATGGCTATCTCGGTTTTTTAAAAATTCGGGATTTTGGCCCAATTAAAAAAAAAACTGACTTCTTTGGGAAAAGAATTATAAAATTCAAAATTTTGAGTGAATCGAAAAAAAACGGAATATATGTCAGAGAAGTGGTCTATGTGCACCGCCACCTACATACCAATTTTTAGAAGAATCGGTTCAAAAATGTGGGGGTTATTCAAAATTGTATGACGTTATGACACACACAAAATGAAAAATGATTTTTTTGGAAGTTCTAGACCTCGTATGGAAACAAAAATAGCACCATTCGATTCGCCGTGAAAAACTGCATCAGATAGACACCTTTTTAGGTCTTAACCCGCGCGGGGCTGGGGGGTAAATTTTACCCCCCTCGCGAATTTTTGCAATATCTAAAAGACGGCGGCAACTTTCAGTACCTTTTCTTACATCAATTTGACACGTTCCCTGAAAATTTTAGCGTAATCCTTCGGAATTTTTTTGAGAAAATGACGTTTTAGTGACGTCATGTTCGCCATTTTCGCCTCAGAAACGGCAAAATTTCAAACGCCGCTAACATCTTCATTTTTAATGGGAATCAAGACGTAACAAAAAAGGTTATACGTGATTCTACTTTGTCTATATCAAATGGCTATCTCGGTTTTTTGGAAAATTTTGATTTTGGCCCAAATTTTTTCAAAAAACTGACTTTTTTGGGAAAATAAAAATAAAATCCAAAATTTTGCGTGTATCGAAAAACCGGAATACATGTCAGAGAAGTGGTCCATGTGCACCTACATACCAATTTTTAGAAGAATCGGTTCAAAAATGTGGGAGTTATTCAAAATTTTTGACGTCACGACAAACACATTTTTTGAAAAATGAATTTTTTGGAAGTTCTAGACCTCGTAGGGAAACAAAAATAGCACCATTCGATTCGCCGTGGAAAACTGCATCAGGTAGACACCTTTTTAGGCCTTAACAACCAACTTCAAAATTTGACCTCACTTGACCTGACCTTGACCTGACCTCGACCTGAAATTCATCAAGAGGTGGTCCATATCACTAATTGAGTGTGCCTATTGAATTCTATAAATAAAATTACCCATAAAACATGTGTCGCACATGCCCATTTCTATATTTTGTTTTCGGTGACCTGACCTGACCTGACCTAGACCTTGACCTCTGAATGATAATGTATACAAGGAATATTGTCTTGGTAGCCTAAGAACACGTTTTGGGCAATCAGTCTCAGTCCATGACTCCATTCTTCGGCACCTACGGTGCAAGGCCGATACTGTAGAAACTTGCAATTTGTACCCTTGACCTGACCTTGACCTTGACCTCAAACTTTAAATTAAGTACATGTTTTAAGTTGTTGGTGATGAGATCTTTCGATTGGCGTTTGAATTTTCCAAATCGGACCATTAGTTCGGGAGATAACGGGGGGGGGGTAAAATTTACCCCCCCCCCCCCCCAGCCACGCGCGTTCGGCTGGAGACCCCAGCCCCGCGCGGGTTAACAACCAACTTCAAAATTTGATCTCACTTGACCTGACCTTGACCTGACCTCGACCTGAAATTCATCCAGAGGTGGTCCATATCACTTATTGAGTGTGCCTATTGAATTATATGAGTAAAATGACCCATAAAACATGTGTCGCACATGCCCTTTTCTATATTTTGTTTTTGGTGACCTGACCTGAACTGACCTGACCTTGACCTTGACCTTTGAATGACATTGTATGCAACGAATATTGTCTTGGTAGTCTAAGAACACGTTTTGGGCAATCAGTCTCAGTCCATTCTTCGGCAACTACGGTGCAAGGCCGATACTGTAGAAACTTGCATTTTGTACCCTTGACCTGACCTTGACCTGACCTCTGACCTACTTAAGCAAAAAAAATTGGGCTCTTAAGATCCGCCTTATTGAGAGCTTTCGATTGCCGTTTTCCCCGTCTTTCTACGACCATCGGTTCGGTAGTTAGACAGGGGGGGGGGCAGAATCTGCCCCCCCCCCCCCCCAGCAGGGCGCGTATGGCTGAATAGCCCAGCGGGGCGCGGGTTAAAGTTGCAAAACGCAACGTTGATGGTAATCTTGAAAAAAATTTTCTGCTAGATGCCCAAAAAATCCGTCTAGGCCTGACGTCCTAAACGGATATTTCCCATTAATTCATCGAATATTTCCGTTCCGCGTTATGGTCATTTTTACGCGCGCTAACCAGTTTACATGAGTCGAAATATACGCACTTTTCGCTAAACGGAAATATCCGTTCTAATAGTCATTTTCGCTGACTCATGTAAACGGGGTAATGGTAAACGGGGTAATGGTAAACGGGGTAATGGTAAACGGGGTAATGGTAAACGGGGTAATGGTAAACGGGGTAATGGTAAACGGGGTAATGGTAAACGGGGTAATGGTAAACGGGGTAATGGTAAACACGGGGTAATGGTAAACGGGGGTAATGGTAAACGGGGTAATGGTAAACGGGGTAATGGTAAACGGGGGGTAACTGACCGCTCTGCGTGACTCGTCGCTGCCCACGCACGCCTCGGTGATCTCCTTGTAGTAGAGCTGCAGTTCCACCGACAGCTCGTGCTGCGCCAGCTGTTTGACACTCACTGTCTCGATGGTCTTGGCGCGCTGGGGGCCGCTGTGGGACCGAGGAGGGCAACCGGTCACACCAACACCGTCAACAGTTCGCCGCCGACATGGGCATGGATCAGACATCCAATCCAATGGATCTAGATCTCAGATCCACACAGATCATAGATTAAACCCCTCCATTTTGTCGAGAGATCGAATGGGATCATCGATCCGTCATCCGACCCCTCTATTTCGTGAGTATATCCACTTAGATCATATGTAGACCCGACAACTTTATCTTGTCGTGAGATGCACTGAAATCACACATTCTAATTTTTTAAAGCATTTTCTGGCAAGAAATGGTATGAATATCAAAGTATCAGTTGACATTAAAACCAAGCAATATTTCACCAAAAGATCATATCAGTGGAGATCCTCAATTTTCATGGACTGAAGGAGACTCTAGCAAGCGATCTCTCCTCTGTCTCTCTGTCTCTCTGTCTCTCTGTCTCTCTGTCTCTCTGTCTCTCTGTCTCTCTGTCTCTCTGTCTCTCTGTCTCTCTGTCTCTCTGTCTCTCTGTCTCTCTGTCTCTCTGTCTCTCTGTCTCTCTGTCTCTGTCTCTGTCTCTGTCTCTCTCTCTCTCTCTCTCTCTCTCTCTCTCTCTCTCTCTCTCTCTCTCTCTCTCTCTCTCTCTGCAGCCGTCATAGACCGGATGTGTACCCGTATCAGCCGTCTCGACTCTCAATCCGGCCTATTCCTTTTGGCCCACTACACAGCAGCCCCCCGGCTAACATATCTCCTGCAGTCGGCGCCGCTGTATCGCCAGCCGGCGCCGTTGCTGGATGTCGACAAGGCAGTGCGGAAGACCCTCGCCACCGTCACCAACGTCACCATCAATGACGAAGCGTGGGAGCAGGCATCCCTACCACTGCGTTTTGGAGGACTTAGAGTCCGGTCGGTGATGGCATTGGCCCTGCCGTGTCACATGACATCCCTCCATGCTTGTCTGCCAGTGACGCAAGAGATTCTCCATGCCACCGACCCTCGCCGGCCGACCCAAGCTCTCCAGCGTACCAAGGCCGATATTGTCGCGAAGCTCGGCGAAGCCGCTCGTCTGGTGCCCCGTCAGAAGAGGGCAAGCAGCGCGCTGGGGATGAGACATTCTCTAAGATGTCTCAGAAGCGTCTGCTGGACGGGGCAAACCAGGTGGTCCAGGCGCGTCTCCTTGCTGCCGCAGAGCCCCACACCGCCGTCTGGTTGTAAGCACTCCCCGTCGCCAGTCTAGGACTCCATCTGGACGATGAAACGGTCCGGGTAGCAGTGGCGCCGCGGCTCGGGACGTCGGTATGTGAGCCGCATAACGGTCAGCTCTGCCATCGCCCTGTTGACCGACTGGGCCACCACGGTCTCTCCTGTACCAAGAGTGCTGGCCGCCACGCACGTCACGCTAGCCTTAATGACGTGTTGCGGCGGGCACTCAGCAGTACAGGGCTCGATTGTTTTGGAGCCCACCGGCCTCGACAGAGGTGACGGTAGACGTCCTGACGGGATAACGCTATTCCCTTTCAGCCGAGGAATGAGCCTGATATGGGACGCCACCTGCTGCGACACCTTCTCTGCAACTGCTGTCATCAGCTCTGCCTTGAGCCCTGGTAGCGCCGCTCGCTGTGCGGAAGAACGCAAATGCACCCGCTATGCCGCTCTTCGTGAGAGATGTTTTCATTCCCTTTGCGGTTGAGACATCTGGTAACCTGGGTCCAGCGGCCACAGGTCTCATGAAGGAGCTTGGCCGTCGGCTGACGTCCCGCACCGGGGACAAACGGGAAACAGTCTGGCTGGCACAAAGAGTTTCGATCGCTGTGGCCAGAGGCAACGCTGCCTCTGTGCTGGCCACAGCTAAACCAGCAGCGACCAACAGACCGGGAACGTCACCGCCGCCATCCGGGATGCCACCGCCGCCACCGCCTGGGCTGACCCCGAGCACGATCGCTTCTTAAATCGAAGCACCGAAGGACGATTCAGCTGTGGGACCGCCTCTGAACTCAGTGGCCGACCTACCAGGCCATCCACCACCACTGACCCCTGCGGACGGCAGCCGTGAGGAGCGACGCGCGACACGGTCTCGGTCCTCTTCCCTGTGCTGTCCCGGAGCGTGCGCGTGTCCCACTTTCAGCAGCAGATCCAGGATTTGAGGGGACCGTGGCCTGCTCAATGCTCATGTGAACTAAATTTTGTATGCGTTCTGCACGTAGGCATTTCATCGCTTTAAAGACATTGCTGTGCCGATGCCGAAAAAAATTAATTGCTTTAAAGCAGGCGCATTGCACGTATAAATTGATTGTGGCGCCACAGGGCGGCGGCGCACAGTTGCAGCCCGGCGGCTAAATTGTCGGCCGCGACCCGATTGATGTGCAGTGACCGCGGGCAGTGGGCACCTGGGAGCCGCTGTGACAGCCAGCGGCGGCAAAAAGTTTTTCGATAATAAATCGTTTAGCGGACTGACTCTGGGTGTAAAGAAGCTATTTTTCCCTGTACTTCGACCTTTATTGACAGGTCTTCAAAGGGGCAATGCGATTAAAAAACAAGCAATAATCATGCTATACCGCCATCCCTGCCGCCATCCACGAAATTCTCAAAATGATCGATGCTAAAACACGTGACACAACTTACAGACAGTTCGTACTCCAGTAGGTCTACTTTTTCAAAACACTATCCCATATGGGGCTAAGCGAGAACTTTCCGACACCCTGATTGTATGTATGTATATGTTACAGGGAGTTTGAGAAATCCGTGAGTTTGCAAACTCCCTAGGGAGTTTGCAAACTCCCTGACCCATCAGTGAGTTTGCAAACTCACTAGGGAGTTTGCAAACTCACTGACCAGTCAGGGAGTTTGAGAAATTTCAGAGCGGCTGGGACAAATAAAAACAAGTGTGTAGCATGTGGGTGGCATACCTGCCGTCCATGATGTTAGAACAAAGGCGGCTAGTTGTAGGGCCTATTTAACCGTCGCACGCTGACAAAAAGCTTACAGAGGCCTGTTTCACTAAAAACTTGTATTTACAAGTGTTTGTAGTTTACAATTCATAAGTATTTTTACCAACTACGAAAAAACCGATTTCACTAAGCTTCATCGCCAGTGGCACCTCCGATAAGAAAATGTTTGCAAATAAACTTGTAAACAGTAAAATCAGTAAAAATGTTTTTAATCAAGAACTATAGCATGTTAAAGATATTGCTTCTTTGTATCAAATATTGTCTAGTATTCATGTCAAAAGCTGCCTAATTAAATTATATTTAATGATGCTGTTGGAAAAAGATATAAATGATAATTCACATTGTCCTATTATTGTAAGAAAATAACACGCAAAACATTTGACAGCAGAAGACTGTTGAATGCAATTATGGCGCGCGAATGACAAAACTTGACGATATTTTAATACCGATTATTTTGCTTCTTAGGGTGTGTGCTAAGTAAAAATTGAGCATGAAACGACTCAACAAAGCATAGTTGTTCTAAATATATGACTGTTTTGCATTATTGCACAAAAAGTATCAAAATTCCGAACGTCAGGACCACTGGAATTTCAGGTTTGTAATTACGATGTTTTCTTTCAAGTTTCTGGTCTTCGTGAAACAGAAAGTTTGCGATTCCCATGTTTTCTAGCAAACTTTTTCTTGTAAAAAAGTTTGCAAATTTTAAACTCAAAATTCATGTTCAAAGGTTTCGTGAAATCCAAATCTCAAATGTTGGTAATTATTTCTTGTAAACTCAAGCTTTTTCTTTGTAAATACAAGTTTTATTTGTTAGTGAAACAGGCCTCAGATCATGTGCACACCATAAATGCCTACTTCAGATTCAGTGATCTGTTCAGTGATCTAGCCCAAACATGTACCACCGCTTCATTTAGTCATACACTTATTTAGTTCACGTCCCAATTATAGATCCGTTCCACAGAAGTGTTCCACACGTGTGCTTTAGCATAAATGACCAACTGAGCTGTTTCTACTTTGATATATTGAGCCTGACTCTGGAATAGCCACACTTGTTGGAACGGATACAATTGGGCCGTGAACTAAATAAATGTATGACTAAATAAAGCGGCGGTACATGTTTTGGCTAGATCACTGAACAGTTTAAAATTAAAAGTATGGTGTGCTTATGATCTGTATACTTTTTGCCAGCGTGCGACTGTTTAATAGGCCGTACAACTAGCCGCCTTTGTTTTAACATCACGGACGGCACGTATGCCACCCACATGCTGCACACTTGTTTTTAGTTGTCCCAATCGCTCTGGAATTTCTCAAACTCCCTGACTGGTCAGTGAGTTTGCAAACTCCCTAAGGAGTTTGCAAACTCACGGATTTCTCAAACTCCCTGTAACATATATATGTATGTACGTGGGGTGAATGAAAAGTTTTGAGCCTAACACAGTTACAGGTGACGCAGGTTAATGAAAATTTGGTCACACATTTTGCCTCTATTTTTAGGTGTGTACACCAAGTTTTGGAGTCCTACTCCTTTTCGTTTCGTTTTTAGAGCCCGTTAAAGTGAAGAGGATTCCGCGTTCGGTGAAAAATCGAGAACCGAGCTTTTATAAAGTATTGCGATTTCAAAGCCATGCCTTTATCTGAATTAAAAAAGGACCTGACATTTAACTTGTTGGTTGTGGCCCATCATAGGGCACTGTTTAGGTTTGAGCTGCTAATTTCAAGCAGGGCAGGAACAGCGTCCAAAATGAACAAATATCAAAAACGCCGTAGAATGTGACAAAATCGGAAAACATTGACCCTGCTCTAGGGGTGTGGATGCTGGATCAAAGACTGTGACCTCATCAGATAGCGGTAAGAATGGACATCTCCCAGGAGCAGGCTGGCGACATTCTTACTAATGGATATGGCATGAGAAAGGTCTCTGCTCATTAGGCCTCTTGGCTTTTTGCTGCAGAGCACGACGAGAGATGTGTAATGACATTTGGCGCTAGTTGAAGCAGATTCTGATAATTTAAAGTCACTTTTCGCCACCACTGATAAACTGCGGGTGTTTCACTTCAATCTAGCATTGGAAGAACAGTGGAGTCAGTGAAATAACGTCTCTACTCTAATCTGAAAAATTAAATGTCAGAGTCACAACAAGGAGGAAAGTGTTCCGTAATTTCGAAAATAAATGGCATGTCTTGCAAGTGCACTCCTTTTCAAAGGGTCTTACTGTAATGGGGCATTACTAGGATGACCCACCGATACACCTTTGTTAGAAAATCAGGAACATCAGAAGGGCAACGCTGACAAAATTGGTCGTGTTTCACCAGGACAATAAATCGGTGTATTTTTCACTGGTTGCAATGTAAACAATCAATTACTGAGCCTTCCAATGTATCTCAAATTGAATCTTTTAACCAGCATTGACATCCTTAGGGTGTCTATTTCTTTATAAACCTAAAGAAAAGACTGACTGGATGACGCTTCACAAAAAATAATGACGTCATTGAACCCACGAGCACTTACCCAAAATAACATTATTCAAGGCGCTTGAAAAGTGAGGAAAAAAGTGCTAGGACTTCACAATTTGGTGTCCACCCATATCAATAGTGGCAAAACATATGACCAAAGTTTATTTATCTGCGTCACCTGTAACTATGTTAGGCTCAAAACTTTTCATTCACCCTACGTATGTATTGACACCAAAAGCCTTCCACATATGGCGTGGCGATTACGGCTTAGATCCGAGTATAATGGGCAACAATCATGCGAGCAGGGGGAAGAACACTCAGCACTAGACGACAGTCATCCATCGATGGGGGTCGCGACAATAATCATCTACATATGTACATAAGACAAACAATAGATCATTGGCTTATGAGCTTTTTCTGGAGATCATCTTGAGCCTTCAAGAAGTTATAGCGGGTCCAAATTTTCTCGACACTTGTCTTTGACCTCTTGAATGAGACGAAATGACCAAGGACCTTAACCCGCGCCGGGCCGGGGGGTGTTTGAGCCCCCCCCCCCTGCGGTTTTTCGCAGATATCTCAAAAACGGCGACGCGGAGCGCCGCCGTTTTTGGCACACCTGTTCGTGCATCTTTTCCGCACATGTTGTGAAAATTTCAGACCCAGGTCGCCTTAGGTCAGGTCACCAGATCACGCCAAATGTCCTCACCTCAGAGAAAAAATAAGAATGCTCGTCATAGCTACACCGACTGAACGATTGCCTTGAAACTTTCAGCGATTGATTAGAGCAGCATTATCTACGAAATTTACAGGGTGCGCAAAAACTTCTGGCCCTCTTACAGTAAGCGCTCCTACGCGTGCTGCGATTGCTTTTCGGGAAGCCAATAGCCGCACGCAATATCTTCAGTGATTCTGCTACACAGCCAGATGTCGAACAAAGCAGACCATTAAAGGCCAGTCATGGAGGCAGGCTAAACGTCACAATGTCTTTGGATACCCGCGCGCGGCGGCCGAATCGGGCATGACTATTGAACAGGTTGCGATAAAATTTGAAGCCCCCCCCCCCCTGCAAACAATTACGCGTATCAAAGCCAAATACGAATAGGGGAGGTCCCGGAGGATGCCCCCGGGTCAGGCCGGTCACGTCCAGTCAGAACTCTGAGAATGTAACTGCCGTGTCTTAGGCCATCCAGGACAGCCCACGGCTCGGGCGGCAAAGTGTCCAATCGTCTTCATTAACGCCAATTAGAAGATGAATAAGACGATGTATGTGCGTCTGCTTGACAGTGACGTCATCCCATGGATCCTGAAGACGTATCCGAAAACCGATTTCGTTTTCCAGCAGGACAGAACACCCGCAAACAACATAACTTCCATCCAGCACAAGCAAATGGAGGAGCTCGGGGGAGGAGCCCATTGCTGGCTTAATGAGATATTGCCCCCTCATTCACCCGACCTGAACCCCTTGACTAAAGCATCTAAAGCGTTTTGCAGGATGAAGTCCAGGGAGTGTCCCATACCAATTTCGAGGCTCTGAGGGCACACATCGTGAAGTGGGAGACGACGGACCCCACCTACATGATTAAGCTATGCAAGTCTTTCCGCCTCCGTGTGGAGAAGGTCATTGCCGATAAGGGGGCTATATCGCGCATACGGCGAGTGAAAGTATCTGGTTTAATAATGCAAACCAGTATTTGGTGTTAGCGTTGATAATATTCACTCCGATTGCATTCGTTTATCGAAGTACAGAAATGGGCCAGAACTTTTTGCGCACCCTGTATATCTCGGAAATTTGATATCGGTGACCTAAGGTCAGGTCAATTTTGCGGCCTCTCCATTATAAGTCAATGGGAGAAAATTGAAAAGAGTCTGTTTTGCACGAACGCTATTCTAGACACTCTCAAACATCGAGAAGTAGGTAAAATTGACACAGTGAACCAGAAAATGGCTACTGTGACCCCTTGTTATGTCCCCGAGGTCATCTCAGGTCACGAACAGAATCTAACAGTGTTTCGCTAATAACTTCTGATAGAGGCGTGCTAGAGCGCTTAAAACGCCTTAGATGTGTTCGGTTCGACGTTGCCGATCGACTGATATGCAACATGACCTTTTACGGTCAGGTCATGACCTTGACCTGAGGTCAAATTTTCAAATTGACCTTTCACGGTCAAATTATAGTTCATTCGACGCGTCTCGACGAGAGGAACACGATACTGGCAAAAGTAATGTCATGGCTCTTTTGAGTCAAAAGTTATTGCCGAAAAAAACGTAACGGCTATTTTTGGAGTTTTTGCCCTCTGGAGGCTAAACCGTTGACCTGAGATCAAATCTGAGAACAACACTCAGAAAGGTCTGTAAAAGGGCTATCGAATGCGCTTTTCCGCGGCGCTGTAGCTCTATCGGTTCCCGAGATTACCGTCGGCAGTTTCCAATATGTTGAAATAGTCAACATTTTACCTTTGGTGACCTCTGGTGACCTGATCTTTGGCCTGACCCAAAAAAATGACCGAAGTGTTTTCGTCCTTATTTTGGACGTTCTTTCGATTGCCGCTTACCACGTGTCGCTACGTGCCCCAGGAGCCGAGTTAGAAGGGTGGGTGTTCAAACCCCCCCCCCCCCCGGCCCGGCGCGAAATCTCGGAGCACCAATCATCGGGTTAAAAATGGGCGCGGGTTAAAAATGGGCAGCAGCGGCTTCCTATAGTCACGGGTAATACGCTCATTTTTTATGCACAGCTCCATCTCAGAGTCCGAGAGGCCGTGGGGGTCCGATCGACTCCTCCCCCTTCCGTTAGCGGCTGTGGAAACGCCAACAGACGGGCGACGGTTAAAAATTGCAGCTGCTTTTGTACGACTGTACGGAACTGCGGTGAGATGGTGAGGCGAGCAGCTACGTGAAAATTGGTATCTAATCAATATGTGCTGTGCCTTTGACCTGGGCTAATCTTTGAACCCTGGGATGCAAGTCACAATGGTTCCATCAATGGAGCCACTAACTCTAAAAAGATAGGTTTTCTCAGAATCCCTCATTACCCCCACCGTAAGGGCTCCATTACCCCCAAAGGGGGCATGCCCCACCATTTGCCGACCCCTGGCCTAGACTAACCCAGTTACCACCAGATGTTCGCAGCACTCCCGGCCGCCGGCCTTCATTCCCCTCCACCCCACCTTTGCAAGTAGAGACGATGATTCGCCTGGCTGGCCGCTGTCACAAATTAAGCCACGTACTGAAATCTACGGTCGACTACGGCCACGAGTGAAATTTAAAATGCATGGGCTTCAAACCCCCCCCCCCCCCCCTCCCCGGCAACAGGAAGTGAAAATTCAGGAGCCCCAGCAGGGTGCGGGTTAAGAAAACGAACTACAGGTAGAATCGACAATATAGCCCAGGGGCGGCGGAGGAGCGGCTTAAGGGTTGTGCACTGTGCAGCTTGCTCCCATCTAAAAGCATAGGGGGTGCAAACTGCAAGCATATCTTTCTGTATATGTGTTCGCAAGCCGAAATTCGCAAGCTTAACATTCGCAAGCTGTCCTTCAATCAAAGGGCCCGTAAAACCATTGGATGCAGGCTGCAGCTCTCCGCAAAGCACCTCGTTGGGTAGTTTGGTGCAGGAGGGTGCTGACTGTGTAGTGACTGCTGATGATCTGTGTGGCGGCAGACGTCCGCTGAGCCAGCTCTCACCTTTTAGTCGGCAAGGCGCTGGCCGGGCTGGCGGCCGGCGGCTTTCCGATCCGGCTCGCCGGGTTGGTGGACTCCTGTTTCTGGTGCTCCAGCGCCACAGGAGGCGGGTTCTCCGGGATCGCCGGCTGCACGCCATCTATGCAGAGCCAGTGCACTGCGCGCACCGGCAACAGAGGTCACAGAACAGCTAGCAGCACCTAGCGGGCACATCCGCCGACACCCGCACCAGTCGCACAGGTGGCCGACTGTACCCAGCCCCGCAGGTCCCCTCCCCACCGGCACCGACCTCGGATGGTGGTCTCCAGTGGCGCCTTGGGCATCTGTGCCGACACCAGTTCCCCCAGCTCCACGTCGCGCTCGTCCTGGAAGCTGAGCTCGCGGCCGCCACCCGACGTGAACCGGAACGGCACGTGCTCCAGACTCTGAACGCCGTACAGCGGCTGGAGAGCGGGCGGTCACTGGTCAGTGGTCGTAACATCCACAACACGGGCGGTCACTGGTCGTAACATCCACAACACAGGCGGTCACTGGTCATAACATCCACAACACGGGCGGTCACTGGTCATAACATCCACAACACGGGCGGTCACTGGTCATAACATCCACAACACGGGCGGTCACTGGTCAGTGGTCATAACGTCCACAACACGGACGGTCACTGATCAGTGGTCGAATTTCGCAATTGGGCCAAAAATTATCATCAAACTTTGCAAGCTTAAAATAGGGAGGTTTTTTAAATAAATTAAACGTGAGTAGAGCCAAATCATCCTATGTTAACCCGCGCACCGACGGGGGGGGGGCGGTTGACCGCCCCTCCCCCCCCTGAGGTTTTTCGTGAATAGCGGGAAAACCGCGGCGAGCAGCGCCGCGAAATTTGGCATGACTTTTCCCTCATCAATTTTACACATAGTGTGCAAGTTTAAACCTCCTTCCTTTCAAGGTCAGGTCACCAGGTCACTTCAAATGACCCAGCCTCAAATCACTTTTTTGCAACTTTGTCACCGTGTCAGAGCTACAGTAGATGACGGAGGCCTTTGAAAGTCGCAGGATGTAATGATAAGTCAATTGGAAAAAATCAACCAAAACGTTTTTCCACCAAAACGCGTCGAAATGGCCCAATATACCATGAATGACTTCATACACGATCAACCTTGACTACATTGAGCCTTGTTTTGCTCTTTAGGCAGCTGTAAGGTCATGTCACGTCATCAAGGTCCACCTAAGGTTTTTTTGCTAATAACTCCTTACAGGAACGAGACACAGCCACGCGGATGGTCTCATTGTGTTCAGCTCGTCAAGGCACATCGAATGATATACATGATGACCTTGAGGTCGCGTGACCTGAGGTTAAGGTTAAGGTTAAGGTTAAGGTTGATGAGCTAGGTTAGACTTGGTCTATTTGGTGCTCATGTCCGGTAGGATGGTACATAGAAGGATCAACAGTAGACATATGTAGGATTGATGACTAGGAATGGCAGGTGGTAGCCCAGTGTCGGTCGAGTCTGTTCTTGAAGGCATTTGTAGAAGGCGCAGCAACAACATGATCGGGGAGCTCATTCCAGGGGGTAACGACTCTATTCGAGAAAAACTTGGCTCTGAAGTGATGGGCTGCTCTCTTCTTCTCAAGCTTCAAGTGGTGTCCCCTGGTCCTTGTGTTATCTTGTAGTTTGAACAGATTCGTGGGGTCAATATCTAACTTGTTTGTAAGAATCTTATAGGTTTCAATCAGGTCACCACGAGCAGCCCTGTCCTTCATGCTCATCAGGTCCAGCTTCCTTAGCCTGTCCTCATAAGAAATATTTCTGATTTCTCGAACGAGTTTGGTTGCTCTCCTCTGAATCTTCTCCAACTTCAGTATATCCTGGGCCATATGGGGTCCCACTGCTGGCAAACAGTAGTCCATGTGTGGTCGAACGTAAGTAGTGTAGAGAGCCTTGAAGTTTTCAGTGGTGAGACGACTGAAAGTCATCTTGAGTAGTCTCAGCGCTGCCATGGCTCTCTTAGCTGCTGCGTCACAGTGAGCAGTGACCTTCAGGTCCTTTGAAATGATGATACCAAGATCACGTTCAAGATCAGTCTTCTTTAGTGTCATGCTAGTCCCCCTGTCATCAGTCATTTCATATTCAAAAGTGGCATCTGCATGACCACAGTGCATGATTTTGCATTTGTCGGTATTGAATTTAAGTAACCATTTTGAAGACCAGTCCATAAGCTTTTCTAGGTCTGATTGCAGAACCTCACAGTCGTTGACCGATGAAATCCCACGGAATAAATTGGTGTCGTCAGCAAACAGTTAACATTCGCTTTGTATGAGTTCAGGAAGGTCATTGACATAAAGAATGAATAACAACGGTCCCAAGACCGACCCCTGGGGTACTCCGCTTGTAACTCTGATGATACTGGATGTACAGTCTGTCTTAAAAGTACCGCGCAAAGTGACGGTGGATCCATCAAGCCTGACCGAGGAAGGGCCTGCTATAATTTGAAAGTCACCGAACCAATTGACCATGGGGAATGGACGAGGATGTCCATTGCTTCGGTGACTCAAATTTAGCAGTCCTTCACCGGTCAGGCTTGATGGATCCACCGTCACTTTGCGCGGTACTTTTAAGACAGACTGTACTCTGACCGACTGTCACCTGTTGGGATCTGTCCGTTAGAAAGCTCTGGATCCATTTAAGTATATTGCCTTTTATGCCGTAAGCCTCCAGTTTCTTGATGAGTCGCTTGTGGGGAACTTTGTCGAATGCCTTTTGGTAGTCGAGATAGATGACATCAACATTTTGGCATTCATCAAGCCACCTTGTCCAATCCTCAAGTGACTATAATAGGTTCGTTTGACATGATCTACCTTTTGTGAAGCCGTGTTGATGTGTACTCAACAGATTGTTTCTTTTCAAGTGTGAGCATACTTCTTTCAGGATCAGTCTTTCAAGAACTTAACATAGTTGACAGGTCAGGCTTACTGGCCGATAGTTCTGCGGCTTCTTCTTGCTACCCTTTTTGAATATGGGAGTGATCCTTGCTCGTTTCCACATTAATGGAAGTGTAAGCGCTGTGACGTCATACAGCGCGGTCATGATTGGCCGAGACGTGGGCGCGACCGTCATCGCCAGGGGAGCGCACAGCTGATACCGTGACGTCACACAGCGCGACCCTGATTGACCGAGACGTGGGCGCGGCCATCATTGCGGGGAGAGCGCACAGCTGATACCCCTCCCCATCGGTGGGGGTGTTCGTAGAGCAGCGGAGGTGAGCTGTGTTTGTCAAGTGTATGAATTTGTCAGGTTTGTGTTATGTGAATATGGAAAATGTAATTTTGCTAATTATAAGGGGTACTTATGGCAGAAATGTCCTGTTACTGGTCCAATCGGAAAGGAAGATGTGGTGTAGTGGTGAGTAGTCAGCTGATCGTGCCACCGTGCACCCGCAGTTTGTCGAATGTGGCGCATCGCAATTCTTGTAAACGTTTCATGAGTCAGAGTGTGTTGGTCTCGGGACTTTGAATGTGATTAAAGCTAGATCTGTGATCGGTAAGTGCTTATATGTTGATTTGTTATGACCAAAAATGTGCTTATGTTTGACTGCTGGTCACTTGAGGGGCAAAATGTTATTGGCTCATTAGGGAAAGTAGGCAGTGAAAAGTAGCGGTTATTATAGCCTAATTTCGTTTGTTGCAGACTATGATGCCTGGTGTGCTACCAGATGAGTTGTCTGCCTGCCAATGGTGACCGGAAGGTGATGAGTGACACCGAGAAGGCGGGCGTTCTTAATCGAGCCTTCACCCGGAAATTCACTGATCGCAAAGTGACGCATTTTCCGACTGCACCCGATTACCCCCTGGACTCACTTCGAGCGTTCACGGTGACACCAGAGACTGTTCGCGGCATACTGAACAGCATCAGCCCGCACAAGGCCTGCGGTCCGGACGGAGTGAGCGCTCGAGTGATCCGTGAGTGCAGTGATGCGATTACCGTGCCGCTTACCATCATCTGCAGGCTCTCTCTCCAGCAGGGCAGAGTGCCACAATCGTGGAAACAAGCCCATGTCATACCTATTTTTAAAAAGGGTCAAAAATGTCTGCCTGAGAACTACCGTTCTGTATCGCTGTTACCGTTATTTAGTAAAGTTCTCGAACGTATTGTGTACTCCTGTATATTCAATCACGTGAAACCAGTTCTCAGCAGTTACCAACACGGATTCATGCCAAAACGTTCCTGCGTGACGAATTTGGCCACCATGCTTCATGACGCTTGGGACAGCATGTCCACGGGGCAGCAAACTGACGTGATATACACTGACTATAGCGCTGCCTTCCAGAGTGTGAACCACGCATTGCTGCTACATAAATTGAGCCAATCTTACAAGATCTCGGACCGAGCGTTAGCATGGCTCGAGTCCTACTTCACGGACAGAGTGCAGCGAGTGGTGCTCAATGGCAAATGTTCCGCCTGGACCCCCGTACCGTCCGGAACGCCGGAGGGCAGTTTGCTCTCACCATTACTGTTCGCGTGCTTTATCAATGATTTACCTGATGCTGTGAGTTGTAAATGTCTGATGTTTGACGATGATGTGAAACTGTATCACAGGATAGAGCGCCAGGCGGACTGTGATTTCTTACAAAGACAGATAGATGCTCTGTGCGACTGGTCACAGCAGTGGTGCATGTCCCTCGACCCCAGCAAGTGCAGAGTGTTGTCATTTTCACTTCGTCGCGCTCGAATCACCGGCATATACACTTTAGGCGGCGAGTCCCTGGGTAGAGTGACGGAAATGCGAGACTTAGGCATTGTGCTTGATGAAAAACTGACGTTTGCTGACCACATTGACTGCACAGTGCGCAAAGCAAACAGGGCGCTAGGTCTCCTAATCCGCTCGTTTCAGACAGGGAAGCACGGCCGGTCACTCTATCGATGTGACTCTCAGGCGATTATCACCTCGTACTGTGCGAACGTGAGATCGATAGCCGAGTACGGCAGTGTTATTTGGGGAGGCGCGGCTGCCACTCATTTGCTGCGATTAGAGCGCATACAGCACAAGTTCATGACGTGGCTCCGCGTTCGCTGTCGATTCACTGATGTGCCTGTGCGATACGACGTGCTGGAGCAACAGTTTGGTTTGGAAAACCTATCGCGTCGGCGTAGACAACATGACCTCATGTTTATTAGAAATGTCCACCGTCAGGTCATAGACTCGTCGTACCTCCTGCAGCATCTGCCTCTCGCCGTGCCGGCGAGGAACGTGCGCAGGCCGGCCTTATTTCATGTCCCCTACGCAAGGGTCAACACTATTAAGCGCGGCTTGTTTGTCCGCATCCCGGAAGCCTGCAGGCTGCAACGAGCTGATGAATGTCAGCCGAGAGGCCGATATATGGCACCAAAGCTCCTACCAGTGGAGACGTACCGTCCGTCAGACCGCTCAGCGTAACACGACTTAGAGA